CCCGCGCCGCGCCAGCACGCGGTGGCAGTTGAGCAGCACGAGGGGCAGCTGCGCGCGCGCGCCCGGCGGCTCGGGGCCCGGAGGCGCACAGCACTCGGGCAGGCGCGCGGCGTCCCGAGCCTGGCGCGCGGCCTTGGCACCCGAGCCCGGCGCCGGCTCCTCTCCGAAGTGGCCGCAGCTCGGGAAGCTTGGCGGCGGCGGCGGCGGCTGGGGCGCGGGGTCCTCGCTGAATCTGCGCGCGATGGCGCCGGGCGCTGCTGCGGGGACAGGCGACAGACACGTTAGACGCTCGCGCGCCCAGAGCTCCGCCACCCTGCCCAGCGCGCCCTTCCTTCCCCGTGCGCGGGGCAGTCGCGAACGGCGACCGAAAAGTCTTGGGAAAGCCCGGCTCTCCCGCACCCGTGAAATGAAAATAAAAAGGGCACAGCTCAGTGTAAAGGCCCCGGATTCAAGCCCCAGCACCACAGAAACAAATATATGTCAAGTCATAGTTTTTTCAGCTATTTACCAACCCTTCACCTAATCTTTCCTTTCTTGATGTTTGGGGAAAACCCATCCTTGGCCGAGCCGAGCCAGGGACCCAGGGCGCCGTGGGGGCTGTGGCCCGAAGCCGAGGAATCCCTGCTCCTGGGCCGGACCTGGCCTTTTCTACCCCAGTTACCGTCACAAGCAGGCCGTCAGATCGGGGAAGCTGGAAGCCCATGCCGGCCTGCACGCCCCTGGTCGCCGGGCAGTGGGAGGCCCGGCTGAGATTGGCCTTGCTGTCCACCAGCCCGAGGTTTCCACCCACACCGGAACTGGCGTGGGAGATGAGCCCACAGCCTGCCCCCTCCCGGGCACCGGGCGCAGGGAGAAGCAGTCCACTCAAATCAGAGCAGCTGGGAGACCTCGAAAATCACTCCCCTTTCCCGGGGCTGAAAGAGGCTTTAGTGGGGCCGGATCCTTGGCTCTCCTTTGCTCTTCACACTGCCACTAGTGTGCCCAGGCCCAGGCTGCCCGCTGCTCCCCGTGTGAAGCTGGGGAGTCCTCCGCGGAGCAGAGAAGGGAAGGCCTGCCCAAAGTCAGGGGGTTCCGTGCCAGCCGCCTGGCCTCGGGCCCCGCCCGCGGTCCCCAGCACCCACCTTCATAGCCGGCCACGAGGTGCCGAGCCGCGGTCCCAGGTGGCTCGGGAAGGCCCTTAGGAGCTGTGGGCTGGCCGGCGGGCACCAGGGGGCTGGCGTAGTGCCACTGGCACTCGCTGCCAGCCGGCAGTGTGCTCAGGAAGAGGCGTGCCACCTCGCATGGGGAGCCCTGGGGTTGCCCAAACTTGGCGGGCAGCACGGGCTTCTTGCTGCCGAAGACGGGTGCATCCAGGGGAAAGGGTCCGTAGCGGTAGAAGGGCAGGCCGTAGGGCGGCGCGTACAGGAGGTCACTGCCTTCCGGGTGCAGCTGCTGCTCTGGGGTGCCACCGGGGGCACTGGCTCCCCATGCTCCGAGCTGGCCACAGTCCAGTTTGTCCACGTGGAACGCACCGTGCTGCTGCGGGCAGAGAGGATGGTGACGGCCGGCCGGGGACACAGAAGGTCTGAGTTTCGGGCGCGGCCTCTGCGAGAGCCTGAACTGCCCCACCCCGAGGCCCTGGTGGGGACAGCGCCCTAGCCCCAGAGTGACAGGAGTCCTCACCCTGAGCTGACAACACACCAGACACAGGTGGACATCACTAGTTCCCAGAGTGCACGAACTGCATTATAAAACAGGGAAGATTTTCATTCTCAAAGTGCTCTGCGCTAAGCACAGTGGCGTGCACCTGTCATCCAAGCTGCTCGGGAAGCTGAGGCAGGAGGACTGCTTAAGCCCAGGAGTTTAAGAGGAGCCTGGGCTCCATGGTAAAGCTCTGCTTCAAAAACAAACAGAAAATGTCACAGAAACAGGACGGATGGGCTGGTAACCAACACAGCACAGATCCCGCAGCCCTGATGTGCCTTCTCCCATCAGTCATCTTTTCCCTATTCTTGACTGTCCACCTGGGTACTGGCTTGCCCCG